TACAACCGTTTACATTTGTAACTCGTTGATATTAAAAATGTATAAAACAGCACTTAATGATGAATTCGGTTTTTGTTTTTCCATGAAATAGTTACAGCAGTTCACAAAACAAAAAAGTCGCAAGGGAAATGCATATTTTTACACTGCATTAATGTTTTTCTGATGTTTGGCATTCACCCAATAAAACTTTCAATAACAATTAAAAATTCCACCTTTTTATGTTTTCCCTTTCTTTGTTGTTTTCCCAGAAATAACGGAAAACTGTTATTTGTGTGTCCTATTTACGTTAATGATTAATTTTAATTTCTGCCCACTTCTTTATTTGGATCAAAAATATTCGATAGCGATTAATGCTCTTCCTTTTGATTTTCCTTTGTTGTTTAATAAAAAGTTACATTTGTATTATGAGGCAATTTGATTTGAGCTTGCTGCTGCTCCATTTGGATGTAAATGACTTCGATTAATGCATTTATTTATTTATTTTCATTTCATTGTCATCGCCAAATGGCAAAATGTAAATGGAATTATTTTCCTCATGACCTCTGCTATAAGCTTAAGGGTTGGCAGGGATAATAAATTTAAAGCTACGTCTATCAAGTTTTATGGCATTGATGTTAAAATGAATTTATGTCATGAGATTCAGCGAAAAGCGCTAAATGTGACATCAAGCGAGATGTAAAAGGCATAAAAGTATTGTTGTTGCTAGCATATTGATAATTTTTATTGCTACATATGTATTCTTGAACAATTTCCTGAAATGAAAAAGCTTGTTTTCAATCAATTATTTATTGATTAAGTTACTATTCATATTTGCGTTAAAAAAGTCGCTCTAGTAATATTCATTAATGTTAATATAAGCAGGCTTATTAGTAGCGATGGACAGCCCACCAAACCCCGTAGCGAAAACTAGTTATTTATTGAATGTGGAGAGCCACAGTTATAAACGATATTATTTTACTTTGGAAAACTGATTTTGTTCCATTCGATTATGGAAATAATAATTCGTATAATATATAATTCGTATTGCTCCAAATATTATAAAATCTTTTTAGTTTTCACACCTCTTCAAATCTTTACCTTAGCCTTTTGATGATTGTCAATATGTCCAGGGAGGTGTTCAATATCGATTCTTTCTGTAACATTTGTTGTCTCATATCAATGCCAAATATTTTTTAGATCTGAATACATATAGTATTTGCAAACTATCACTATTTACAGCATTTGAAGATAGCAAGAACTGTTACCACTAATTGTAAGTTATTCAGTAGCTTCCTTAATCATCGAAAGTGCTAAGAATATTTTAAAGCTAAAAGCAATATCGTGAATACTATAATCTACAGTACGTAGACTATTTTCTGGTCGATAATATTTCAATGGGGATCTTGAAAGTTGTATTCCCAGATATCCAAAATAGTCCTACTATTTTCCGAGCTCACCTACGCAACTAACTACAGCTGTTTTAATGATTTTAAGTACAAAACGTACAACTCTGTAATTGTTACTAGATATCAGTTTTTTCCAACTCGACTTTTTTCACTTTGGCTTAACCTACATAGAAATACGAAAACCTAAATAGAGTAACTTTCACAAAAAACGCTTGAACTTCGCATTAAAGTAACAAAATTTGATGGCTTTGCTTTTATGCATATCACATCCTAGTATAGACGACCATCCACATTTGGTTGTTTGAGTTCAAACTACCGTACATCAGGGGTTTTGGCCCTTGTCTTCTTGGTTGCTTAAATGTTGGTCGAACGGTGTTAGTTCGCCCCTTGTCTGACGTCATTTGTCAAAATTCAGCGGATCCAGATAGGAAGCCACAAAGACATTGTGAACGCCAAAGTCGTGTCTAATATTGACATTCCTAATCTGTGCGCTGGCCGTTAAAATGCCGTGTCACTTAGTTAGTATGCGTGTGTGGCTCCATTTGTTTGTTTGGGCTGCCGTTTTTACTCTGCGTCCTCCTGTTTTCTGCGCTCAGCGTCGTCCTTCCTGTGTATGTTCTCCATCATCCTGTGACTGGGTGTGTTTTTGATTCATGCCTCGATTCGTCGCTATCAGTGCTGGGCGTGTGCGGACTTGTTCATTTATATTTGATGATGACATTGCAGGGCAGTCGACGGCGTCGATGGAGTCGAACAGTCAAGATAGTTACTCGGCTGGGCAGTTAGTAGGTTGTGTCGTCTGTCAGTCACTCAGCCAGTTAGTCAGTCAGTCAGTCAGGCAGTCAAATGATTGTATTTGGTATTCTCGAGCAGTTATTAGTTTAAGTAGATCATTGGCAGTGATTAGTGAGCCCCGCACTCACAATTCTCCGCCCACTTTGTGAATCACTTTTTAACAACGCTGCAATTTTCAAATGATGAGAGTTCAACGTCGCTGTCGTCGTCGTCATCATCATGGTTGTCGTTGTCGTTGTACTTGGGACGTCATGTTGTTACTTACTTGCAGCGGTGTCTGAACATTTTTTTTGCAAATTGTTACGGGTTTTGCGCCAAAACGTAAGTATAGAGAAAAGGGCACAGAGCGGAAGACTTGCTTGCCCTTGCTGGACGGCAAAGTGCAGAGCAGTGCAAAAAAGCATGGTAAAGCGATTTGGCTTGCCAAAAGGAGCCCACAAGCAGACTTAACTTTGTAGTTGTACACTGAAATAAATACCTGCATGTATTCCTGCAACTTTCCCTTTAACATCTATGTACATACTTGTATGTTAAATGAACAATGGATCTGCTTTGAGTTCCATTTCTACTGAAAATTGCACGAAATGCAGTTAATTATTCGACTTGAGATTGGCGTATTATAGTGTTGCGGCTAAAAAAAAGTTACCTAACATTCTCCATTCTTCAACATTTTATCTTTTCAATCGACGGAATCGTTCTGAACTGCTAATTTTCGTTAAGTATTTAAGCAGGCAAGGATTGAAGATAGGGAGATGATCCAAATTTTCTCTTAAATAACTTTTCAGTTAATTTGTACACTTCTGCGAGCCAGAACTATGACATGAAAGCAGATCATATTCCAAGCTGAAATTATGCTTTTGATCTTTATATTTTAAGTCCACTAACTCTTTGAAATAGTAACCCATTTAAACTTCTTGAAATCAATGTGTCAATATTTTATGGAAAGAGTAGGCTTGCCCTCATTGTCTAATTTGCATTTGAACGTAATTTGAAAACCTGTTTTTATTACAAAAATGTTTCTAAAATTCTAATATGCACAAAAAAAGAATGGAATACATGCGAGCATATACTTAGTAGTAATTAGTAAAATGTATTTTATGAGCATTATTTTCATGTTTGTTAAGTAATCGCTTAATACTTAATGCCCATACGTTAGAAGCCAGTCGTATCTTCATTTTAAAACCAAAGCAAATTTATATTAAAATAAACTTTTCTGCTTCCGCACACTTCATAGCGAACTTGTAGCGTAAAATAAAAAATTAATGTTTGTATTAATTTCATGCCTGACCGTAACTTAAGAATGGATTTAAATTGAGAAAAAAGTAGGCGAAAGCCAACTAATTGTAAATTGTTTATTAATTTACTCAGTATGGAAGAACTTTAGTAGGCCTTCCTGCATCAATTTAACATGGACAGGAGGATGTTGTTGTAGAGTGGTGCCAAAGTTAATTTAAATTCTATGTAAGCAGCTTATTTTGGACTACATTTTTATGCCTATTACGTAAATGATTGCATAACGATTTGAATAAGCTCTGCAAATGAGAGCCGCGCTATCGCTCAACCCATGTGCTTTCTCTGAGTGTATGCTTGCTGGCCCTGTGTATCGCTGTGTGCAAGTATGTCTGTATGTGCATATGCTTGTATCTTCTGGCTAAGAGTTTGTAAGTGTGTGCGACAGCACAAGTGTTTTAATTTTACGACATTGTATGAATTTTACTGCTGGCACAGCAGAAACATCAGCACCGCTGTTACATATCGTTAGCTTCCTTAACGGACGTATCCCACATCAGAGGCCGATGTTGTCTGTGCTACACTTACCTCTGCCCCTGCCCCTGGCAACCGCCAACCATGCAGCTGCTCTAGCATGCTCATAAATTGCAGCTTGCAAGCGTCAGTGCAATCAGCGTCATCAGCTTCATCCGGTCTTCTGCATTTGGCCACCACCTACAACGACACCTACATTCACCCTCCGCCGTCGCCCCTCCTGCCCACTTCCTCACAGATACTCTGTCTTTTCGGCTACACTGAGCACAAAGTTGCAGTTTTAATTTGCAGCGCAGCGTGAAAAGTTTGCGTTTTAAGAGAGATAAAAGGTCATGGTGCCCACTGTGCCTTAACTGCCGTCACTTAACGTTAACAGTTTACGCTTGCCTGCGGGCTAAAAAGGCGGGCACACACACACACACGCACGTGTCACACACATATATGCCCACTAGTTCAGTCTGGGGTCTGATGTTTGGTGTCTGGGTCTGGGCCTGGGCCTGGGGCCTCGGTCGTCGAGTCTCGAGCTCGAGCTCGTGCTGCCACTTGCCGCCATCATTTTCGGTGCTGCGCTAACTGCGTAAAGTTGGCACTTGAAACTGTCAGCTTAAATATGCCAGTCGCACACACACACACACAGACATACTTTTCACACACACACACACATGTGGCTGACTACTACATAAAATGCACAGTTTTCGCAGCAAGCGTAAAACAAGCAGCCAAAAAAACGAGCAAAAAAAATGAAAGAGATGAGGAGAAAAACAGGCAGCCTGGCATAAAGGATGAAAGTTACAGAACCTTTTGCTGTAACTTACAGTTCCCAACTCTGCAGGCTCCTTGCAGTCTGTGTGCGCAGTTATAATATGGAATAAGGCTGAAATTGGTGAATGGGTACTGCAATGGGAATGGGAATGAAATGGAATGAGGGGAGGGAGGGCTACAGCTATTCCTTTACTACATACATACGAGTATACTATATGTAAATGCATATTTAAATTGCAACCAAATTAAAGCACATTTCTTACTCAACTCCCTCCTTTTCCCCGCTCTTTACAGATGGTGACGAGAACGAAGAAAATCTTTGTGGGTGGCCTGTCGGCACCCACTACGCTGGAGGATGTCAAAAGCTATTTTGAACAGTTTGGTCCGGTAAGTCAAAAAGTCAAATGTGCATGCACTGTACAAAAATAATATTATCTCTTTATAAATAAGCTCAGTGTTATCCAAATCAATGGAGTTAAAACAAAAATTTAATTTATGCAAAATTTATAAAATGGTGGAATTTATTTAAAATTCATTTTAAATATGCAGACGCATTTAATTCGCTATTTTAATAAAAAATATTGTAACATTGGGCGTTTTGGAAGCATAGAAATCGATTAGATCTTACAAGTATCTTAGACGATATCTAACTTCAGTCACAAAATTAAAAACTGATTGATTGTGATTATATTTTGTACCCTCAAGGTTGTATGTATGAATAATTTTAATTTTCTTTGTTGCCCTATTTGATAATTATATGAAAAAGCAAATACCCGTAGGTATAAAACAATGTTTTACAAATGTTGAAGTTGTATCACATATCGAATCAATTGACTTTTATGTGCGCAATATATTAAATAGGATATAAGCTTTTTAATAAAACAATGAAAAGTTAGTTTTCTGTAGAAAAACTATATTGGACTTGAATTTTCAACACGGAAAAAATGTTACAAACAACTCTTCCATATTTTGCCAGCAAGGAATCATCCTAGAAGTATGCTTTAAAAATACTTTATTTATTCAGCTTTTTCTTATGAGTGGAAAGGTAATCGTCCTTGTTGTTGTAATAAGTATTGCTATTCCTTTTGCTGCTACTGCTGCTGCATATGGCAATGCCAAAATAATAATAATAAAAATCAGAATGACAGTTTGAGCACAAATCATGCAATCTATGCGCAATGCGCGCCCAAGTTTCGTGTTTGGCAAAACAGAAAATGCAAAAGGAAAAGAACCCACATAGTAGGATGTATTTATAGACAAAAAAGGAAAGCAAGCAACAAACAAAAAATGTTGGCTATGTAAATGCTTCTGAGCAATGACACCTTCACTGCCACTTGCCATGTTTTGTTTGATCAATAAAAACTCCAAATCCAAAAAAAAATCCTACACACACACAGTCACTCACAAATTGGTGCAAAAAGCGAGAAAAAACATATATATTCCATACCAAATTCAATCTTGACAAGTACTGCAAAGCGCCCGACACGTTGCCGTCGTCTCGGCCCGGCAACAGCACCACCAACAACAACAAGAACAGCTGCCTACCTGCAGAAACTCCACTTGAACACACATACACACACATTTATGCATAATGAATGGGTGTGCATGTGTGTGTGTGTGTGTGTGTGTGTGTGTGTATGGTTGAGTGCTATTCGAGTGCTCTTTAAGTTGTGATGGGCACCTCTATGCCTCTGTGATCGTCCCCCCTCCCCGCACTCCCTTCTCGCCACCTCTCACTCAACAACCGTCAGACTCAGATGTGTTATGCCTAAAGCAAGGTAGGAACAAAAATGTGTGTTGTTGCTGTTATTGTTGGTGTTGTTGATTACGATACTAAACGAAAATCGATTTGTTGAACGCTTTTGGATTTTAATGAGCGCCCACTAAAGATTCATTCTCTCTCTCCGTATATAGTATTCTGTATATTCTACATATTCATATACTTGTACGAGCTCATGCATAGGTAGGCAGAGTTGCATGAAGCGTATGAAAGCCCACGTTAATACATATAATCGATAACAAAGCCATTGTTGCATGCCGATTGAGCACAAGGCTCGTTATACACATTGATGGGACCTTATTTTTACGCTAAATGATATTGGAACAGCTTGTTATATGTTGCTTGTGTTCTGCCAACAGAACAGAACACTAGCTGAGAGTTATCTATGTATTTGCACACTCGATTAGTTGAAATTATATCCAGTTATATTCCATTTTACGAAACCTTGAAGCATTCCAACATTTGAAATTTTTGTTAATCATTTCAAAGACGGAAGGAAGCTTTCTTTAATTCTAATTCGATAAATCTTAATTCAGATGCATTATCTCTCTATCTGCAATATCTCAATATATAGAGTATACAATTCCAAAATTCTCTTAAACAATCATCAACAAATATTATTCATGCAAAATCACATAATTTCATTGGCTGTCCACCTTTGGAAAACTTTTCTGAAAATATTTGAAATCATTGCATGACATTGACATAATAATTAAATAATTTAATTCTGAATGGTAAATTTGCAAATGACTTAACAATTGAGACATTCCCATGCCTTAGAGCATTTGCACAACATTTTCCATTCATGAAAATTGCTTTTCATTTCCAATTGCTGCACTTGTAAGAAGGGGAAAAGGGAGGAAAGACTCATCTTCCCTTGTGCCATTGAGAGTGGGAGCTGCGACTTCGTTAATTGGCACAACTTGACGCAACTTTTGTGTCAGCTTCAAGCTGAGGACGTCAACTGCCATTTGGGCAAAGCTCGCCCACGATTTAATGTGAATATAATGACGCTGCGGCATCTCAGAGCAAACGGCTCATCAATCAAATCAGTGAGCGAGATGTTTTCTTTCATATTTTTTAAGCAATTTTCATCATAACTTTGGCAAAACTGTCAAAATTTATAACGATCAAATAGTTGGCAGCCAAAGCAATGCCTAGAGAGGTGCGGCCAATGACTCTCAGTCTCTTTCATCTTGGCTTTGTGTTTCTATACCAAGTGTGGAACTTGTGTGTCGAAATTGCTTTTATAAGTATATTAATTCGTATCAAGGCAAAGGCCGCACACAGAAAACTTAACCATGCGCAAATTTCTTAATGGCAAACTTTTCAATTAATCCGTATTTGCAAAGAAAATTATAACAACGCGCTCTTCCTCATATAATACTGACAATAACAATAGCTTAAGATTTGGAAAGAACGAGAAGAGGGCAGTAGAACAATGCAGCCGCAGTCGAGCTGAGCTAAGCCAAAGTTTCCCTCTACTACTTGGCCAAGTTATTGATTACAACTAATCCCGTTTGGCTTTTGCCTGCCGCCTCATTGAGCAGCGTTTCGCCCTCCGAGAGATTTTGTTGGCCATAAACAAATAAGCTGAATGCCCGAGCAGCTTAAGCAGGGCAGGTGACCAACGCCAAAAGCATTGGAACGTTGTTCAGGATATTTTTGGGGTTCTTCGGGGGTGAGCAGCGAGGCGTTAATGACTTTAGCCTTAGCGCTCGTTGCCATTTTTCTTTCGACTGTAGCTTCAGCATTCATTGTACTACGTTTTTCTGCCTCACTCCAGGCCTGAAGAAAGACAGCCCGGAAGATTGATTAGTGCTTCGGATCTGGCTGAAAACAACAGCCAATATGATTAATAGTTCGATGCGTACGATTTTCACATAAAAGGCATGCACCACTAATAGCAGCAACAACAACAACATCAACAAAGACAACAATAACGATATGCGATAACCATGCACAACTACTACATCAAAAGGGTGGAGGCCTTTCTAAAAAAGGACGAATTTATGGCACCACCTGCACAGGTTGCGTCTGCATTTTCATGTACTCTCTAATTTCATTTTATTTTCAATGTTCTGTCAAATGTTGCGCAACATTTGTGAAACGTAAAACATGAAAAGTCCAACAAAAAGAACTCTTCCAAAAAATATGGTTCAACATGCTGTCGACTGATAAATGCACTTCATCTGCCAGTGTATGGTAATGGATTAATTCTACTAAAAATATATTCTTATTATTGAATACTCAATTCAGTTGTGTAACAGAGGAAAACTGTATATATTTAATAAGCTATCGCTCCAATATAAAATTATAATCGCAATATAATATTCAAGTATGGTTCATAGTTCATTTCTAAAGTTCCATGTGCCATATTTATTGCCCTTTGAGGTATTAATTAGAATACCAAAATGTTGTAGAAACTTAGACTACATCATTTTACAAGATTTAAATTAAACGAACAAAATAATCAGAGATTTGAGCTCGTAATTTCAGGAATTACTTCCCCTTTTAAACGTTTGCGCAACATTTAGAATAAATATCCCCATATTGTTTTATTGGAAACCCAGCTTACCTAGTTTTCTGTAGACATCTTTAACTTTATTTACTTAGAAGAGTAAGGTTCATCAAACTTACATTTAACCTTTGGTTTTAAAAACAAAAATAAGTTCAATCCACTTATATATCCGATATATATCCAGAAGAAGTCTGAAGTATTTTTAATTCTCTAAAATCATTGCGTTCCTGCTTCCATCCATATAGTTACGTGTATATTGAATACCCTTTTATACGTCTGGCAAGAGCATATAACATGGCGCCTGTTGGTAACAAACAATACCATAAACATAATCTACCTTATTGCCTTTTTTGGTAAAGAGCATAAAAAGAACTTTTAGGCTATCTATGCTGTTTGTCTCATTTGCCAAACGAAACATTTGCACATTTTTGTAGGCGTCTCCCAGCCATTTTCTATTTCAGGCCAAATAAAACTATAGCATGAATATACATGTATCCAACACACACAGAACCGCACACTCACTGCCATACATACAAACACATAAAAGGTAATACTAGCACCTCTTTTGGTCAGGTTGGTATTTGTGTAAAATCCAAATTCTCACCCCGTTCCTCTTTTCGTTGCTCGTTGTCCGTTGCGCGCCCAGCTTTTAAATGCAAATCACAAAACTGTTTTCAAATACAAATAAACAAACAAACGAGCAAACAACAAATTTCAAATTTCTCTCTGTACAAGTTTTTAGTGCAAATTTTCTATTTAGCAAATATACACACGCACACACGCATACACACACAAACGCATAAACATGCAGATGGACCGTCGCCATCGGACAACTGGACTATCGCACTACTGGCTGACCAAAGGCTGCTCAGCTGCAGTGGCAACAGCATTGCCAACCTTTGCCACTGATTTTATTGCAGCATGCTGCAAGCATTGCGATAACAAAAATGGCATACACACATACATACAAGTATGTATGTGTACTATGTACATATATACATATATAAACAGGGGTATATTGTGCAAGAGTATTGGGTGAATAGAGGGACAAAGAGAAATAAAAAGTTGGGTAGTAAAGAAGAATGA